GTGAGATTTCGGCAAGCGTCTTGCGCTGTAGCCGGGCGACTCGCGCCAAGGAAGCGGCTAGCGTTGTAGACGACCGGCGCCGAGGAAGCGACTCGCGCTGTAAAGGCGACCGGCGCCGAGGAAGCGACTTGCGCTGTAAAGGCGACCGGCGCCGTGAGCAGGCGTCTTGCGCCGTGAAAGCGACTAGCGCTGAATAGGCTAGCGTCAAGGCGCTCTGTGCCTTCGGCGACTTGCGCCGGGAAGATCTGCTCGAGCCCGTAGGGGGTCTCCCTTTATACTCGTCGGTGCAAAACTTAGAACTCGCGAAGCTGCCCCGGCGATGCGACGCCTAGTGGCGTTGCTGCGAACTGCCGGTATTGCAGGCATCGCGCAGGGTTGTATCATTGGTGGCGTGGACCGCCACATCATGTATTATATTCAATTTCTACGATCTCCCGTATTGACATATCATCAATAGTTAAACTAAAATATAATATTTTTCCTTCTGTTGTTGCTTCATTAATTTTTTTCTCTACTGTTTTTAAAGCCTCAGTTGTTATACCAGGTTTGCCTTCTACAGATGCATACCATCTTCTTATTGTTTGTGGATGTGGTAAAATATTAAGGAAAGTCTTACGAACATATTCATATGCTTTTGTTGAATATAACTGTAATGTTGCTGCAAAAGTTTTAATATTATCCGAAAATACTCCTCTTTTCTTCTTTGAAAGATGTCTTTTTAATATTTCTCTTTTAGTTGATGAAACGCTAGACTGTACAACATGAATTACATGTAATTCATATTACGTATATTTCATTATTAGTAAATTGCAATTCCTCCTGTGCTATATGCTTTTAATATTGTTATATTACTCGTACCACATATATGTAGTATTTGTTCTGTCAATCAGTACTTACTTGTAACAACTCAGCAGCGTCCTTAGATAATAATTCCTTATTTTTTAAATGCTTTACAAGCGACGTCAATGATATTACTCTTTGGTTCAATCTTCTGCATTTCTGCTGATATATTTTTAACTTAGCTTTCAACGCTTTTATTTTGTCCTCTTTTATTTTCAATTTATATAATGGATCTTCGCATGGATTGAACATATCCAAATTTGTACTATGTAACAAATATTTATGTATTGTATATATGCATATAATTTTTAAGTACACAATAAACATCATTAAAAACTAATTTTTCTTTTTATTATTTTACTTATCAGCGAAACCAAACTTTGTTGTTTGTTGTACTTTCGAAATAGATACATGTGCTTCTTTTAAGTTAATATTCTCTGTAGTCTGTATATTTATCTCTGGTAAAGATTGTTCCTGAGGTTCCTGAGGTTCTGGACATTGTTCGTTAGTACTTGTTACATATAACTTCTCTGTACTGCTTGCATTTGTATCACATGTATGTTGCTGCTGCATTTGCTGATCCTTAATTGTGACATAAAGTTTGACTTTATTTCACAAATATGTACTTTTTTGTAATTACATGATCATTGCAACAGTTATTAAAAAATGTTAAAAATAAATATCAATTATACATACCACCTGAGTGTTATTACATTCATTTCTTAACGCCATATCAAATACAATTGGTACTGTATTTGTTTTTAAATATATTTTACTACAACCTGTTATAAGAAAACAATCTTTTGTAAAATGCTGACTACATATAACCGAATTTTCGGTATATAAAAAATTCTTTTTTTTTTTTTATTGCTGCAAGCCATTGTCTTCTCCTTATTGTGTTTTTTGGCAACCTAAAAAAATATATATAGTCCTGTTGTAAACATATCAAACTTCCATAGAACTTTATATTTTTAAGCAAAAAATATTATTGCTTCCTCATGGAGGAACCTTTATAAGCGACATAAAATATTGCTTAAGCAACGTGCAAATTTATAATTTTCATACTTAAAAATTGTGAGAAAATAATGTTTAAATTTATAATTTGCACACTTAAAAACTATGAGCAAGCAATGTTCATGTTTCTACTTGTATAGTAATAAGTTTAGTATGTAACTTTTTTGCTCGCATTACAAATTACAATAATAACTATATTATTATATACAAATATATTAACTGTACGTTTCTGTACCTGTGAAATCGAATTCCGTCCGACTTATGTCTTAAATGTACTCCACAAATGCAACAAAAAACCATCTTAATCGTCTCCTTTTTTGTCCTTTGAAATATTTAACGCGCTCCGTTAACCTCTACAGACCACCAGTAAATCGTCTCCTTTCACGGTAAAGAAGTTAAGTAAATATGGCCGTGGCCGCTTTTGCTGTCACATAGTCAAGAGTGAGAGGGCAGTAGACGCAAAACAGCTTTCTCACTCTGTCCTAAACTGCCAACTTCCGACTTCACCCCCTCCATAGCAAAAGCATAGGAATGGCTGCGTTCAGCCATTCCTATGCTAGCCTAGCAATCGTGAGCAGTCGCTCGTTTCCTCTCCATTGACCCAATGGATTAAAAGGAGAGGAAACGAGCGACTGCTCACGATTGCTAGGCTAGCGGAGTATCGGCTGAACGCAGCCAATGCTTGGTCTATATTATATATGTTGTTGAATTGTAATTAAAAAAAAAATTAAAATCTACATTTTTTGAAAATTTTAGTTATTTAATAAAATATTTAGTAAATTGGAATATTTTAGA